AACATCGGTGGCATAACGCCAAAAACAGAACCATTTCGTATTTTAGGGCGTGTGAACGGAATTTTCGAACAGGTTAAAAACGGAACGTTCGGTCAGAGTCAGTATGGTGCAGGGTAGTGACCGTTTAAACAGACCCCGTTCGAACACCGATGTAGCCGTTCGTTCTACCTGCCGAACCAGGCAGTTTGAGAGGTTCCAAGGTGGAACGTTCCAAATTTTGGAATTCAAACTCATCACTTGGAATTTGAGCGAAACCAGAGTCGGTTCGCTAGTAGTCAAAACTTCGCGTAAATCCCCCCGCTACGTGACAGCTGTTTTCGCCGAAGTCTTTCGTGAGTTCGCCGACCGCCAAAAGGGTTGCCAGCTCTTACGTGGCGGAGTGGTCGTTCAAACGGGTGAATTCGTGACGCATGTTCCATCGCCGAAATGCGAAACGTCCTTTGAGATCGTAAAACAGTAACCACCCCGGGATTCATTCCGTTTTGGAAATAACGAATTGGATGTCCCTCCCCTAAAGGCGTGTCCCGTGGGTACATTTCTCGCTCAAAACTTTCCCAACCGTTTCATACAGAATCTCACCCAATCGTGATCAAAGTTACGAGTCAAACACGCCCTAATTATTCCGCCGCTTAGCATACAGTCACATGCACAAAAGAATCTAAATATAAGGTGAGTTCACAAAAGGCCTAGGTTTATTTGTACTTCATTTGAAAGGAAAATTCTTGTTGGATAATGGCGGAGTAATAATAATGGTGATGCTTTGATTGAAAGATAAATTATTCGTGTATCAGCACCTCCAATTTGTTTTTTGCACGCGTAATGCTGTAGTGATCTCGCAGAGTTTTCCATTTCGCTAGTATATGTTCGTGCTTTTTTTCCCCCAATGTTTTTTGTTCGTCGCGTTTTAGAAGCACCCAATTATTTTCGTCTGGCTGATCGTTGTTTGCTAATCAGTATGTAAGTAGGAAAATTACTTGATGAGAGGCCATAATCTTAAAGCGACAGGTCAAAATAGTGAAGGCGGGTCCAACTTGAAAGCACCCAGACATCCGTTTTTTGCGACTAAGGGACAAAACTGAGACGGGGCAGAGGGTACACTGTCGAGAAATGCGAGCAGGGGAAATTGGGCGAGAGGAGGCTGTTATCTGATTGGTTGGCGGGAAACACATGACGTACGGTGGGAAACGTGGCTCATGAAAAATTGTAAGCAGCGTGCCACCTGTCGCCCAGCCCCCACTGCCTATAAGCTGCACCAAGTGGGCCCAACTTGAATTTCAAGTTGGACCAAGGTTCACTACTCCGGCAAAAACGAGGCTGGGCCCCGATTGGTCGAAATGCTAACTGCGCAAATCTGTGGTCGTAAAATCTATTGCCAGTGCGAAATGTCGCAAGGGCAATTCGATTTGGTGGCCTACGGCTTGGTAAAAAACGCGGGCTGCTGGCCGCCCCTCCAAAAACATATTTGCTGTTGGGTCGTTTCTAGTTGGGCCTAAGTAGAAAGAGGGGTCACTATTATAACCTCTCGCTTTAAGTACAGGTAGAATTACAATAATAATACCGTAATCACCCGGATAGACGCCCCTATGGGCGTTTACTAGACTGGTTAGAAAACGTGGGGGGGCGTTTAATTGAATAAAAAATATAAGCCCATGGGCGTTTTAAAGGGATTATATGGAAAATTATAAGTTTGACATCGACATGTAGCTGCTGGTTTGTCGTGTGCAATGGGAGTAATTTTAGGCGAGGATTAAAAGTCAATCGCGTTGGAAGTCCAGTCAACGCGGTGCCAGGCTGGAAACTTCCTTTTCTGATATGAATCGTGCTGGCGCGAGGTGTCAGGGAGCGTGAGTTCCGCCTCTGACGGGCACGAAGCGAGTTGCCTCGGTATTACGGTACCTGCACCCGTTCGGTCTATTTGTACAGTGTTTCAACTGAATTTCTGAGGGGGCTTATAGGGTACATGTTCTGAAAAAATAAGGGGGGCCTATAATCGAATAATGCCTATAAGTCCCAATGCACGAGTTAGAGCCCATGGGACTAATCCTACGGAGGGGCGTCTATCCGGGTGATTACGGTAGACTTGCCGGAAATAAGTCTCTAGATAGTAAAGTAACTAGAATAGGGCATACAAGGTAGTTTTGTTCTTAGTGTTGTACTCTCCATGGCATGCTCCTAGCTAGCCTGTAAACATATACAAATATATTTGACACACCCCCTATGCCTAGATGAGGGGCAGTGCACGGCAAGAGACACACAAATCAGGGTGGTACTACTAGTCCAACCTCTAAGGCAAGGGTCCAAGGACCAGTCAGCAAGAGTACTAACTAAACAAGAGTAACCAGGATGGCACTACTTGTTTAAAGAGGTAGGAGCCTAGAAACTAGGCATGAGGATGTCGCAAGATTTTAGGCTAGGAGATGGTTACAAGAGGAAAGAGGATGAGATTAGAAGAGAGAGGGACACAAAGAGGGGGTTGTACCCTCTACAGTAAGATTCAGTAACAGCTATCATGCCTGTAATTATATATGTAGAATAATTTAACACACCCCCTAGGCTTGGTATTCCCAAGCCCAGCCGAAACCCAACACCCCCAAGCCCGTGCACCCCCATGTCCTGCAGCAAGTGGGGCTTCTACCCCTCGTGCAAAGCGGTGAAACCCCCGGCGGGTGGCAGCAACGGCGTCAACGGCAACTTCTACGACGACGATAGCTTCAGCGGCAAAGGCGGCGGTGGCTTCGACGACGGCGGCGGCGACTGCGAAGCTTAGAGCACCCGGCGGCGTGGCACGACCCAGCGACGATCGAGTATGAAGGCATCAGCTGCTTCTGGAACAAAAAAGGAGTTGCAGGGAGGGGGGGGGAGGGCGAATCTGCAGCAAGGCGCCATGGCTGGCGCGGCGCTGGCTGGCGTGCGTGCGAACAGGCTGGCGCCTAAAACGGTGCGCGGCTCGCTGCCGCTCGTGCGCTGGTGCGGCCGACACAGCAGAACTGCGAGGCCGCCATGGCATGGCGTCGACGCCACGACAGTGCGGCGAGACTGCCACGACACGGCACAGAGACCGCCGTGGCAGCACGACGTGGTCGGTGGCACAACGACGCCGCCACAATAGCCCGACGCGGCGACGACGCCGCCACAGCAGCACGACGCGGCCGGCGACACGACGCCGCCGCCACAGGAGCACGACAAAGCCGCCATGGCGGCGCGATAGAGAGAGGAGGAGTGCGTGGCGGAAGCGAGAGAAGAAGGTCCAACATGGTGAACCTGGTTTAATACCATACTTAAACAGGTAGGAGCCTAGAAACTAGGCATGAGGATGTCACGAGGATTTAGGCTAGGAGAAATTAACGAGGAAAGAGGATGAGATTAGAAGAGAGAGGGATACACGGAGGGAGTTGTACCCTCTATTATAAGTTTCAGTAATAGCTACTAATTCTATAAGTATAAATATATAATATATAATTAAACATTACTAGTCCAGCCACTAGAACAAGGGCCACAAAGCCAGTCAATATCATATAAGAGGAAGTATACATCAAGGTCCTAGCAAATGAGAAGCTACAGGAACTAGACCAAGCTGTACACAGTGCCGCTGATGATCTTTAGGCGCAAGCGCCTTTGTAAAGATATCAACTGTGTTGGCACAAGAGGCCAAGTGAACTACGCGGGCCTTGCGACGCTGTTGTAGCTCGCGCAGGAGGAAGTACCGCAACTGGATGTGCTTCGCTCTTCTCTCCAGTCGAGGCTCCTGAGACAGGAGGATCATGGCCCTGTTGTCAGCGTACAGGACCGAGGCAGAGCTAGGCCGCTCACCTAAGTCAGTGAGCAAGAAAGCAAGCAAGCGGAGCTCCTATGCCGAAACGCCACCAGTGTAGATTTGAGCCTTACAGCTTGACTTGGCTACAGACGACGAGTGCGTGGACCTCCACGAGATGGCGCCTGCACCAAGGCTAAAGCAGTAGCCTAGGGAGGACGTGACTGTCTCAGCGTCATCTGCCCACGAAGCGTATGGTGCCTTGTAAGGACCACGGGCCTGTGTCCTCCTAGCACTAGCCCCATGCCCGATGTACGTGCTAGATAACGCAAAACCCTCTTAGCGGTCAACCAGTGCTGTGGTCGGTGTCTGCCTGTGGCCACAAAGCGAGCTAGGATGCTAAGAGGGTATATGAGATCTGGACGAGTGCAAGTCATCAGGTATATGAGGCAACCCACCAGCTTCGCGTAAGGACCACTAGGCTCTACAGACTCCTTAGGGATTGGAGCTGAGAGCCTGTAATCTACTGGCAGTGGTGTGGGCTGTGCGGAGGTGAACTGAAGAACGAAGCTCTGAAGGACCTGGCGCACCAAGTATGAGTGTTTGAGAGTGATGGTGCGCGCTGTTCTGTACCACGAGGTCTGCAGGCCAAGATTGAGGCGCAGCTCTCCTAGGTCAGTGCAGATGTTCTCAGAAACTTAGGAGTCTAGGTTCCTAAAGTTAGGACACTAGCTTAGCTAGGAATGACGCCATGGAATGGTGGGAGGAAAGTAGATCTAGGAACGTGAGTAGTGAGGAGAAATGTCGAGAAGAAAGGTAGATTGAAAAGAAGACAGAGGCATACAAGAAGGGGTGTTATACCCTCTACAGCAGTATTCAGTAATAGTATACCAAGCCTATAAATTATAACTTAAATAATTTTAACAAACCTAGGGGGTTTGGTAGTGTCAAGCCGACACACACCCACACACACACACACACACCCCCTAACCTAGCACCCCACTACCCTGCAGCAGCAGCGGCTGTTGACAACCCGGTAGACCTCTCCACAAGCGGGGTGGCGACAACAGCTACGAGGGTGCGGTGGCGACGACGGCGGCGGCAGCAGTGACGACAGCAGCGGCGGCGGCGGCGTGCGGCGGCAAGTAGGCCAGCGGCAACAGCGGCGGCGGCGGGGGCTTCGACAAAAGCAGCGGCGGCGGCGTCGCTTGCCCCACTCGGCGGCGTGGCCAGGTTTCGCAACGGTGGG